TGAATGGATATATAGATGAGCGGATGGATGATTGTATAGGTATATAGATAGATGGATAGATGATGGATATATAAATGAATGGATATATAGATGAGTGGATGAATAATTGTATAGGTATATAGATGGATGGATGGATATATAAATTAATGGATATATAGATGAGTGGATGGATGATTGTATAGGTATATAGATGGGTGGATAGATATATAAATGAATGGATATATAGATGAGTGGATGGATGATTGTATATATATGGATGATGGATGGATGGATATATAAATTAATGGATATACAGATGAGTGGATGGTTGATTGTATATATATAGATGGATGGATAGATATATAAATGAATAGATATACAGATGAGTGGATGGATGATTGTATATGTATATAGATGAATGGATGGATGGATGGATGGATGGATGGATATATAAATTAATGGATATATAGATGGATGGGTGATTATATAGGTAAATAGATGGCTGGCTGGCTGCCTGATAGAAAGATGAGTGGGTGGGTAGATAGATGGATAATTGGAAGAAGGAATAAATGGGTGAACAGTTGACTTGTCCATCTGAGGAACAGATAAGTGAAAGAAGTAACAGCTGGTCAGTGCACTGACCGGTGAACCACTCGTCACATTAGCCGCAGCCATGTTATTGCACACCTACCATTGAGAGTGTTCCATGTGCTAAGCACACCCACAGACACCTCCTTCAGCCCTCACCACCAGCTGAAGAAGTGGGTTCCAGACGAGGAAACTGAGGCACAGACCGGTTAAGGCACCTACCCAAGCCTACATGGCTAATGAGTGAGGGAAGAGTTAGTGGCATTCGGCATCACCACCATTCTGCCCTTGTGGTGTGGACTGTGGGTCTCTCCCCATAATAACAGTACGAAGATGCCAGCTAAAAGACAGACAGACAGAAGGAAGGACACATTCATGAACAAATCCTGCCACAGGAGAGTAGGGGACCACAGTGGAAACAGTTAACCGCTCCATCACCGCTGCTTTGACCCCATCAGAAGGAAAAAAAAAATCTTCCCGCAGTTCCTAAGTCACTTACGTGAAGGCCGGTCCTTGTGTGTGCTAGAGGAGAAATTGCAGGAGACAGAAAAGCAATCAAAGACTTAGCCAAAAGTCTGCAGCCCTCTCATCCCCTAATGTAACAAGCTTGGTGCCAGCAGGTGGCAAGGAGATGGGCTCGTTTTCCTGGGCAATCAAGGCAGGGGAGGTGCAGAGACTCTGCGTGGGGAAGGCAAGGCTAAGAGGCTGGCAGCCTTGCCCTGCATGCACATACCTCACAACACTTGCATACTGTGGGGCTGAGGATGTAGGGGCTGGGGGGGGAGGGCTGCACAGGGCTGGGGGTCTCTGCAGCCTGCTGGGGGCTGAGAAGCAGCAGGCACAATGAGGGCTTCTCTGGCCCAGCACCCCCTGCATCTCCCACGGGGCCAAGGCCCGGCCCACCCTCACCTGCATTCTGTGAGCTGCTCCACCAGCTTGTCTGACTTCAGGCCGGTCCTGGTGCTCTACAACAGGGAAAGAGGAAGAAATGGGGTGACTCCAGAGTACCCCAGAACCAGTCCCACAGGACCAAAGCAGAGTAAGAGAACCTAGTACACTCTGCTTTGCCCCCGTCTCAGGATGCTACCATGGGCCAGCTTCCTTGTCCGTTTTCCCTGTGGTTATTAAAAACCCACGAGGATAGCACTATAGATGCCTCATTCCTAAGACACCCTAGAGAGGGGTGTGTGTGTAAATGGATATGTGTTCTGTGAATGAACACACAAATTAATGGTCGCCTCTGATTTTTCCCCTGCTTATTTTGTGTGTGTGTGTGTGTGTGTGTGTGTGTGTGTGTGTGTGTGTGTGTGTGTAGTACACACATGCCATGTTGGACATATGAAGGTCACAGACAAGTTTCAGGAGTCAATTCTCCCTTCCTATGATGTGGGTCTCAGGGACTGAATGAACTCGGGTTGTCGGGCTTGATAAGCCAACACCTTTACCTGCTGAGTTATCTTGTCAGCCTTACCTGATTTATGTAAGTTTGAGAAAGCCATGAAACTGCTGAGCAGTGAACTTTAAGGATAGACTTGGGAAAGGTGGTAAGGGGTTTGACAAGGCCCAGCTGGATACAGCTGGTTCTGTAAGGCAAGTAGAAGGAACACACACACACACACACACACACACACACACACACACACACACACCATAGAAGACAAGCTTGCGCTGCCCAATAACCAAGGTTTCTCAGAAGAGGAGACAGGATGTGGTCTTCAGTGACAGATGAAAGACATGATATCTAGGGTAGCCACGGAGAGATGGCCACCTGTGACCCAGGAAATATGGTGGCACCAGCCGACCTCCCTATGGTATACCCGTTTCTGCCTCTGCTAGGCAGAGCTGGCTGCTGAGAACAGGGCTGGCTGGCCAGGGCCCTCCTCCTACCCTCCTTGTCTCTGCCAGCCCAGCCCCCCACCGCTGTCCTGATGTGATGAGATGTCCCCATAGGCTCCTGGAGTCACTCCCCATGCAAATACCGCCCCCCCATAGATGTAGTGGCATGGAGCAATATGTTCAGATGACCTGCCCCATTCCACCGTCTCACAAGTACCTCAATGTGGATGACTTCCACCTGGACGTTGTCTGGAAGAAGCAGGTCCGGCTGGAAGCGTTTGGCCAGGGCCACCAGGAGATGCAAGGTGGCCAGCAGGTCCTTGCTGAAGATGGCTAAAGAGGAGAAGACAGAAAGTCAGAGTTGAGGGGCCACCAAAACCTGCAGACACCCTCAGAACTGTGCTGTGAAGACCACTGAGGTCAGAATCTGTGTGTGTCTGTCTCTCTCTCTCTCTCTTCTCTGTCTCTGTCTATCTCTCTCTTCCTACCTGTCTCTCTTTCTCTGTCTCTCTCACTGTCTCTTTTTCTGTGTGTGTGTGTCTGTCTCTTTGTCTCTCTGTCTCTGTTGTTCTCTGTCTCTCTCTCTGTCTCTGTAGCTCTCTATCTCTGTCTCTCTCTGAGTCTCTGTCTCTGTCTCTGTCTCTCTCTCTCGTGTGTGTGTGTGTGTGTGTGTGTGTCTCTGTCTGTCTGTCTGTCTGTCTGTCTCTTCGTCTCTGTTGCTCTGTCTCTTTCTCTGTCTCTCTCTGTCTCTCTGTCTCTGTCTCTCTGTCTCTGTCTCTGTCTCTCTCTCTCTCTCTCTCTCTCTCTCTCTCTCTCGTGTGTGTGTGTGTGTGTGTGTGTGTGTGTGTGTGTGTGTACGTGTACGTACCACACCGTCTGAAGGGTGGATGGGAGGCATACACACACAGCACACTCATTTGTTAACAGGCAGAAAATTAGTGAAGGCCGGACTGTGAGCGCCATGCAACCCGGCTGAGAGGTGTGGCCTGTTCTGAGGCTCAGCAGAAGCCATGTCCCTGGGAAGTCATCATCCTTGGGCTGCACTGACCGCAGTGGTACCCCCAGGGCCATGTGCGTAGGTCAGTTTCTCTCCCACCAGACACCTGACTTCGTGTCCAGCGCTTGTGCTCGAGCTATGGGCTGCCTGAGGCCTCTGTGTCCTTCCAGCCTGCGGTGGTGGTTCTTGGGTGGATGAGTGTGCTGATTATCAAGGGAGAAGCCAGTGCAGACGGTCCCGCCTCCCCTCCCAGGGACCAGCCTGGCTCGGCCCCACCTACTCTCCACGCTCCACTGGGCCTCTTGCTCTTCGACCTGCAGACTCCGGTTGGTGGCCTCCAAGACGATCCCTAGCTTGCGCCTCTGGCTAGCTGAGGTCAGAGAGATTTCTTCCACTTCCAGCTTGAGGGCTGACAGCTTCTCTGAAAGCAAAAGAGCAGTAAGGACCAGGAAGTGTCCAGCAGCTGTCACTGGGGCCCTCTGCCATGAGGATAATGCCACCTTGTTAGAATATACGGATCTGTTAGAATATGGGGATATATACTGTTAATGCTGAGCCCTGGGCAACCCAGAACCCTCAACCAAACATGCTCATTATCCAAGGAGTCCCCATCCACATGGGAAATGGGCCCATCCAACAGGGCACATGGACCATGTCTGTGAGCAGGATGCAACCCTTCACGCCATCCCCTCTGGCCCACCTCATCTTGATCATTGACCCACACCTTGGTCTCTGCACTGCTGTGGCCATACCGTTCCCACGGGGCAGCACCCCTGCTTTCTCCACTGAGACCCAGGCATATCGTTCTGTGTCTGGGAGCCTTGGTCTCACCCATAGCCAGAGAGAGAGGAACAGTAGTGAACTGTTCAGAAAAGCTGACAGCGCCTGCTCCCCGAGAAGTACCCAGAAGCCCTCGGCGGAGGCTGGAGGATCACTCCGGAGCTCGTATGCCAAGCTCTGCAGAGTGGTGGCTTGAAGAGGCTCTGAGACTATGGATCTGGGCCCTACCGCTCCCAGGACCCCCTTCCTTGCACAAGACATCTGCAGGCCAGACACGGGTAGGAAAACCAGCCAGAGGCAGGAACTTGGCCTGACTTTGGACATCACTTCCAGGCACACTGGGACCCGCCAGGCAGAACCACCCCTGCCTCTGCCTCTGCCTCTGGAATGTCCCACTCAGGATAGCCTGGGTCCTTCCAGCAGCACAGGGTACTCTAAGGACAGGGACAGTGGATGTCCCATCTCCTAAAATGATCAGACACTTCATAAATGCTAGATAGGCCACAGTGTGCCAGAAGGAGCAACAGCCCAGACATTAGACACCAGGTGGAATCCCAGCTCTGTCCTGCCATGCCCAGGTGTGGGCAGGGTCTCCACCTCTGCAGCTCTGCAATCTGGAAAGCCACAGAGGAGTCCCTTCCCCCAGGGTTATAGTAGGAAGCCACTTGAGGGGTCAAGGGGATGCACTTGGCTCCAAAGCCCCCAGAGCAGCTGCTTAGGAAGCACAGGTGGGGTGAAGCGGGACCTGGGCCTCTGCTTACGGAACAGGTGGTGCAAAATGAGTCCATCAAACATGTCCTCCTCCAGGCTGCGGACCACGATGTGCTCTGGGAGGAGTGTGGTGTTGATCCACTCCATCAGCACCTGCCGGTCACAAGGGGACAGCTGACAGGGGTAGGAGTCCCCTGGCCAAGCTCTTATTTCAGGCTAGAGTGACCTCTTCTACCCACCAATTACTACCCATTCTTCATGGCCTGGTCAAGTGGTGTCTCTTCCAGAAAGTTCTCCCTGATCTCCCTGGCCATGTGGAGCCTCCTCTGAGATCTCAAAGACGCTCCTCCCAAGATCTTCCAAATACCTGCCTGAACCCTGAGAGGCTGTTATCCTGTACATGGGGTTTTGTTACCTGGGAGTCGCCATCACTGTAGCAAATACTTAAAACCGGGGGCGTGGCTGTGGAATTGGGGTGATGGCAATGGCTGGCATGGGCACTTGGTTACAAAGCCTGGACTGCCTCCAAGAGAGGGTTGTAGAAACACGGAGGCTACAGGTGATGCTGGGGATGTCTCAGGAGGAAAAGAACCGGTGTGATGTTGGAATGGAGGAAGGTGGTGTCAGGGTGGAGGTGGACAGGGGTGTGGTGTCTATAAGTCAGGGGCACCAAGCCTGGCTCCAGAGACTTCAGGGCTGGGCATGATCGGGTACCTTCTGCAGTTCTTCAAACTTGGGGTCCTTCCGGGAATTGGGGGACAGGTATTTCTTCTTTCCTCCTGGAAGCCGAGGTGGGTATGACGTGTGTGAGGACCATGAGAGCCCTTGGCAGATATCTCCCTGTGGGTTACCCACTGAACCTGGGCCCCCAGGGGGAACCTAGCCCTGCCTCTCACTCTCACTTTCTCATGAGCACTGGGGGTGCACACTTAAACTCTGAGGTCACCCCTTACTCTGAAGGTCATCAAGCAGATGTGTGGCATCTTCGAGAAACCCTACCTATACCTGCCTCGAGTGGAGGCACAGCCCAAAAGGAGCAACAGGCTGAGGTGGGCATCACCTATGCTGCCAGGCAGCTCTGGCCAGGGTGTAGCACCAAGGTCCCCTGTGCCCTCTTTGGCTCAGCCACTCCCTTCCATGAGGCCTTGGTCAGCAGGGTCCCCACATTTTAAATTCTTAGAACCCTTAGGGCTGGAGAGATGGCTCAGCGGTTAAGAGCACTGACTGCTCTTCCAGAGGACCCAGGTTCAATTCCCAGCACCCACGTGAGAGCTCACAACTATCTATAACTCCAGTTCCAAGGGACCCTCACAGAGACACACACACACACAGGCAAAACACCAATGCACATAAAATAAAAATAAATCAATTATTTAAAAAAAAAAATCTTACAACCCACAAAGCATCAGGCCCAGAGGGACTTTGTAGATCAGCTGACCTCGATGCACATGAAGAAACTGAGTCAGCACATGGGGCTGACCTGCCCAAGCTCATAAAATATAACCTGCCATGTGACCCACCTAGATGCTAGATCTCCCAAAACCTTGGAGTACCCCCACCCCTGCTGGGAGAATAAGTAGAACATTGCGCTCATGGCTTGGGGTCAACTAGTGATAACATGAGTGAGTTAGTGAATGGATGTGGAGGGAGGGAGGGAAGATGTGAGCGTGGCATGGAGGGAGGGAGGGATGGAAAGAAGAAAGGGTAGAGGGATAGGAGGAAGGAGGGAGAGATAAATATATGGATGGGTGTATGGATGAAAGGATGGATGGGTGATTCATGGATGAGTGAGTGGACAGAGATGAAGAGAGGATGGATGGCGGATGGACAGATAGATGGCTACGTGGACAGTCCTCAGGTACAGCTGTCTCGTTCTAGTCACCTGGTCACACTCCCTCCCTCCCTCCTCTGATTCAACAACCCTTGCCCCGCCAGGACCAGCACCTCGTGGGAGCTCCTCCTCTGCGGGCTGGTTCACCTCCTTTGGGAACTGCAGCAGGTTGTAGAGCGGCTCTGACTCCATCTTCTCCTCGCCTTCCCTGGAGGAGACAGGAGACAGAGCGCATCACTGGCCCCAAGGCCCAGGCTGGCCATTTGCTCATTCTTTCATTCAGACTTGGGAGAAACGGAGGACGGGATGGCGTGACTCTGAGCAGACGTGAAGAGCCAAGCAAGGGGGAGAGGAGGGGCCTGGTGTGGAGACATCTGAAGCCGAGCCTGATGGTGCCGGTCTGTGATGATTATCCTTGACTGGCACTGTGGCAGGATCTAGACTCACCTGATAGATAGGCAAGGCTCTGGGCATCTGCCTAGATTCCCTCAGTGTAAGAGAGAAAGCACCATCTCACGCACGAGCTGAATGAGAAAGGAGAAAGTGAGCTGGACACATTCTCTCTCTCTCTCTCTCTCTCTCTCTCTCTCTCTCTCTCTCTCATCTTCCCGATACATTTAACCAGTTACCTCATTCCTCTGCTGCATGACTTTCCTGTCGCGAGGGTCTGTCTGAGTTAAAGAAGCCCACCCTCCCTCCCTCCTTCCCTCCCCCCCTCCCTCCCTCCCTCCCTTTCTTCCTTCCTTCCTTCAGTTCCTTCTGTCCTTTCGTCGGGGCATTAAGTTAATACACAGGCTGGGGACAAAGCCTGGGCAAAGGCCTGGTGAGGAAGTGGGTTCCCTGCCAGCCAGGCACACAGAAGCCTGCCCACCACTCCTGGCCAGGAGCTCCAGCCTTCTCTCTGCAGCCAGAACAGAACCCCAGTTCCCACAGAGCCTCAGACTAGTGTGGGAGGGGGGACTCTGGGTCAATCTGTATCAAGATGAACCAGTGGGGTGGAGTGGCCATCCATCCCTTCAGGGTCCCTGAATCCAAGACCCGACTCCCCCAGCTGTGGATGGGGTGGACCAGGCCACAGGCCAAAGCCACCCAGACCTGTTCCCCATTCCGTGCTGGCTTGGCTTGCAGAGGGAGATTGGCCCATCTGGCCTCTAGTTCTGAATGGGGCTTTCTCAGATGAGCTTGGCATCCCCAGACTTGGGGTGTGGGGCTTTTGCTCATGAAGCCCAGAGCACATGCTTCTTATGGAAGACAAGCAGCACCCTCCCCGCTAGATTCACCAAGGGCAGTATCAGGCCTGAGACCAGCAATCCCCACTCAGACTCCTGAAGGGCGGTATTAGTCCCCTTCAATATCTGCACCCCCACCCCCACCCCCAGCCTCATGATGGACAGTATCAGGCCTGCCCCACACCCAGAGGGGGTCAGATTCAGAAGCTAACACCCTTCTGGTTCTTTACCCTCCTTGGAGTTCTTCTGCCCACTTCCCCTCTGAAAGTTTCACTTGCTGCATGGTCACCGTTGACCCTCCCCTCCTGTCCCTCATTCAGTCTCTGCATCTGCCCCACAGCTCCAGGATCGCCCAGATAGCTGAGGTCTGGGGTCAAGCCAGGAGAAGTTAAAACGAGGAACCCCCGAGTTATGTGGAGGGAGAGGCACCGGCGGGACCTGGGAGCTGCCTTCCTCCAACTGGCTGCAGCCTGGGGACCTTGAGAAGCTGAGCCCTGCTCTGAAGCCAGAAGCAAGAGCACAGAGCCCCTGGGAATGAGTCTCGAGCCCCACAAACTGAAGAAGAGGAGAAGAGTTGGGCTGGGGTGGGGGAGCCTGGGCTCCAGCCAGCTCCTCTTTGCTTGAGCTGAGTGATTATAGGCCAATTCGCTCCCTTCTTGGCCCTGATGCATCTTTACAGGAGGAGGCTGGACCCTGTGTCTAGCCGAGTACACACAGACCTGAAACTGCCTCTGGTGACCAGTCCCAGATAAGTCCCTTCCCTGCCCATATGACAGTTTCTTCGTGGTCGGGGGAGCTCAACTTTCTCCTCACGCAGTGAAGTTCTGAGGGCCCCTGGTCCAAAACACTGCTCATCTGGCTGCAGGAGAGGTAGGCAGGGCCCTTCTGTGTGGACAGGGCTCACAGCTCTTCCATAAAATGAGGTGACAGCCTCAGCAACAGGGCAGGACTCAGGGTTCCCCTTTGACAGACACCCTAACTCTGGGGCCCCAGCTGAGATGTGGCTCTGGGTTCCTATTCACGGGATATCTCTGCCTTCCTCCGCGAGTGTTAGTACCCGGGCGTGTGAGCAGATAGAAGATTCTAGTAGCTCAGGAATCCCACAGGTTGAAGGCCAGATGCACTCACCTTGCCTCCTCTTTCCACACCAGGAAACGAAGCCCACTAGCTCAGAGGACAACCAGGTTCCCGACAGAGACAGGTTCCGGCCCGGAGGTGGAAGGCAGGGCTTCTGCTCACTTCCTCTGCCACCCTGGTGGCCGCAGGCAGCTTCCTCCTCCGAGTTGCTGGTAAGTGAGGCACCCTAAATCCACTGAGAGACTGCCAGAGCCCCAGCCCTGCCCTGTCCCCTAGTTTCCCAAGGCTCAAGGGCATCTTGGATAGTGTCTCTTATTTCCCTTCCTGTCTCTGCCTCTCCATGTCCAAACAACTGCTTGTCTGAGCAGAAAACCGAGGTTAGGGCCTCCATAGCAAACGGTGGGCTCTCTACCTCCTTTTTCTCACAGTGCCCAACCTTCATCTCTGGCTCCACCAGGGCAACATGCCAACCCAGCAGCCCCCGGGGGCTGTCCACTAACTAACTAACTTTCTTGCTTGCTTAATTTCTCGATTTCAAGACAGTCTCATGCAGCCCAGGCTGGCCTCATCAAGTTGAGGTTGACCTTGAACTTCTAACTCTCCTGCCCCAACCCATCTCTCACATGCCTGGGTTCCAGTCATGTGCCATGTCCTAGTTAGGGGTTCTGTTGCTGTGAAGAGACACCATGACCGTGGCAGCTCTTATACAGAAAAACATTTAATTGTGGTGGCTCACTTAGAGTTCAGAGGTCCAGTCCATTATCATAATACCGGAAGCAAGGCAGCATGCAGGCAGACGTGGTGCTGGAGGAGCTGAGAGTTCTTACATCTTGACTCACAGGTAACAACAGGAAGTGGTCTTGGAAACACTGGGTGTGGCTTAAGCATACATGAGACCTCAAAGTCCACCTCCACAGTTGCACACTTCCTTCAACAAGGCCACACCCACTCCAGCAAAGCCACACCTCCTAATAGTGTCACTCCCTTTGTGGACCATTTTCCTTCAAACCACCACAGGCCACTACACCCACCCAATAGCCCCTAAATAAAAGCCAGTCTGCTGGTCCCAGCCAGAGTCACTGCACCCATAACCTACCTGCTACAGCTCCCGGCCCCCGCCTCCTCTCCCCACTTGACCCACCAATACCTGCCTGTTCTCTGTCAGTGCCATGGGCTTTCACTTTGACGTCACACAGCTTGTCCCCCATGGCTTGTAAACTCTGCTCAGCTTTTCACACCGCTCGGACCTCACTCCTGACATGAGCTGCGGTTCTTCCTCCTCCTCTAGGAAGCCTTCCACAACATCCCTGACTAACACATGTGGCTTGGGCCTGCAACCATCCTGGGTCAGAGTGGCACGAATCCTAAATGGTCTTATAGTCAAAACCCAGAGTCAGGTATCAGGGTGAAAGTTGAAAGGTCAGGAAGCAGAGCCAGCCACAGCCACCACCTCTTACCTCACCAACTCCTCAGCCTGACAGAGCCTCTGCGAGAGAGCAAATTCCTGTCTCCTCCTGCCTTATATTTCTTTCTCTGGCCAGCCACCTCACTTCCTGTCTCAATCTTTCTAGTGCTAGGATTAAAGGTGTGTGATCCCCAGTGCCGGAATTGAAGGTGTGTGTGCCACCACTGCCTGACCTCTGTGGCTAACTCTGGCTGGCTGGCTCTGTCCTCTGATCTTCAGATGAGCTTTATTTCTTAGATTACAAATATCACCACAGGTCAGCCAATGGCATTGGCTGGTGTCTGAAAGCTGTCCTTCCATCAAGCCAGGAGCTCTGCAGGGAGGGGCCCGTCTCTCCCACTCACTATTAAAAGCCAGCACCCACAAAAGAACCCAGAACAAAATAGGTTCAACAAATCTCTTTTGATGGCTATTATTGCTTAAAGCACTGTGCTGGTCACTTTTCTTATCGAAGCGACAAAATGGGTGACAGACTCTGGATATGTGACTCAGTGGCTAGAGTGCCTGCCTCGCATGCCGGAGGTCATAAACCAGCACCTCATAAACTGGGCGTGATAGCTGACACATGTAATCCAGCTCTCAGGAGTCAGAGGCAGAAGGATCAGAAGTTCAAGGTCGGCCCAGGATGTAAGAGTACACGAGACTCTGTCTTTAAAGAAAAAAGAAAGAAAAACTGAAGAGAGCAACTTAGGGAAAGAGGGGCCTGTTTTGGCTTGCAGTGGAGGGTGTGGTCAAGGCAGGGAAGCAGGAGTGTGAGACCGCTGATCACGTCGCATCTACAGTCAGGAAGCCGGGCGCTGAATGCTGGTGCTCAGCTCACATTCCGCTTTGTATTTAGTCGTGGCCCAATGCCCCCACCCACGTTCAGGGTGGGCCTTTCCTTCCCAGTTACCCCTTTATACAAACGCCCTCGCTGACACACCCAGAGGCGTGTCTCTCAGGGGATTCCAAATCTCGTCAAGTTGACAGTGCAAATGAGTTGTCACAGTGACCAAGCGGGCTTCCTGGAGAAGAACGCCTTGGTGGCTCAATAGCAGTTTGCCAATTCCAGGGTGTGGAAATGACATCGGAGATGGGGGAATCGCCACGCAAAGGTCAGGAGGACTTTGGAGACACACAGCACAAGGGCTCAGTCGGAGCCCTTCCGAGCCCAGCTGGCCTCCGAGCTTGAATGTTCAGGATCTAGCCTGAGATGGAGAGTTCCATAGTGACAGGTGACAAGCTGAGCGAGCAGGAAGCTAGCCACCCTTGCTCTGTGACACTTCACTACCGAAGTGGCCAGAGCAGGTGGGAGGCAGAGGTAAAGTGCATAAACGCACCCCAGAGGAGTCCTAAGGCACTGTCCAAGGGACAGGGTGGGCACTGTCACTTCTGGTCGTTTTAACCTAATTTAGGCTAAAAAGGAAAGCAAATGCTAAGGGCGGTCCCTGCATGGGACTTACTCTGCAAGTAGATGTCACTCCACTGTCACCTCTGCTCTACAGGGGAAACCGAGGCCCCGGGCTCCCCCACTGCCATTCCAACACACCAATGCAGGAGCAGGGTTCATGAGGAAATGGGGAGCAGCCATGACCAGGACTCGGGCGGCTGGGCAGTACAGTAGCTCAGCCCCGAACTCAGGCCCAATGTTCTGGGTGGCTTCTGAGCCCTCTGGCCCCTGCATCATGGCCCAGCAGTCAGTGTTGTGTAGTGCAGTTAGCACATCCGAGTGTGTAACCCAGAGTGTGTTCCATGGTTCCATGAAGGAGACACGGCACCAGATGAGTGGACTAGAAGAGATGACTCTCTAGCCCAGTGCATTGCGGGGTGGGGCTCTGAAAGCCAGAGAGCAAGCAGTGGATGGATACTGAGCCCAGAAAGAGGCAGCCACTGGAGAAAGAATGAGGGGGCCGTGGCGACCCGTGATGACTGGAAGAGGGCATACATAGTAAGAGGACTATACCCCCCAACACCCATGACATACACCTCCCTGTCCTCAACTCCTCCCCCAGCCGACAAACACTGCTGGGAGCCATGGCCAAGAAAAGCCCAGCAATGGGGTCCACAGAGGTCAGGACACAAAACAGGAATAGGTACAAAGAGGAGATGGATAGGACACTCAGGAGCCGTGGTCATCACGGCTCCCTGGCCCTAGCAGCTCCTGTCACAGGCCAGCTCTGCAGCAGGTACCACTTGCTGCCAGGAGCCACCTGCAGGCTGCTCCTTGAGCCTTTCTCTCGAGGTCACCGTGGACTTTCTGGGACTGAACTGGATTCTTAAAGAGTGGGTTATCAGTCTCACTCACAAACCGGGTATCTTCAGGAATGGGCGTCTGGGGTTGGTTTCTTGCTTTGGTAGATTCAGAAGTACGAGGACTCAGTAGCCATGAGAGAAAGGAGTCCTTGGAGACTCCCCACAGATGGGGTGACACAATCCCCAGTGGTCACGGGCAGCCAAGGGTGGCTAAGTCCACAGCCTTGGCTCAATGGCAGCTTCTGCATGAATGCTAGGAGAGGGTCTATTCCAACATGGCAGTGAGCACACTCTTGGTGGCCCCTGGAGAGTCGAACATATGAAAACAACCAGCCCAGGCTTTGCACTCTCCACTGAGCTCTGGTCAGGACACTAAGGAGACTTGTAATGGTGCCGAAGGAGTCCCTGTCTTCTTGGGGCTGTGGGGAGGATGCAGCTGGGAGACAGATGTAGAATCTCGGCCTGTGACGCGTGAAATTGTGACACAAACTGAAACTACAGCCTACCAAGCCTCCACAGGAAAGCAAGGCATTGTGGACAGGAAGAGGGGATCTGAGCATCCCAAAACTTGGGGGAAGGGCCTCGTAACCATGAGCCTCCCCCGCCCCAGGTCTGCAGAAAGAGACCCTGCCCTGCCTGGAAAGTGCAGCGTCTGAGATGTCTGTCCTCCAGGGAATGTCGTTCTCCTCCCTCCTAGGCTCTGTCACCTCCCACTCCCAGGCATACATCTGCCACAGGAACCATTCAGTTCTGGGAGTTGATGCTGTGTGGAGGCTCACCCCAATAGCCCTCCCCTGTATGGTTTTGAATAGGTTGGGCAGGTCTGGACTGGATAGGGTGACCCTGACTGGCTCTCGCAGTATCTGTGGTCAGTTGGCAGCTGGTTATCCAAAACAGCTTCACTCCCAGGCTCCTGTAAAGTAGGGTTTCTGGCCGTTAACTGCATGACTCTCATCCCCAGCTGGAGAGACGCAGCCCCAAGACTCATCAAATTTCCTTCAGTGTCACATCTGTTATTGTCCCTTTGGCCAAAGCAAGCCACCCAGCCAAGGCAAGAGTCGGCACAGGAAGGTGCTACCCGAGGGCATGGATGAAGGGGAGGGAGGGAGCCCATTCTAACCAACCAACACTGAAACCAACACAGCTTGGGTGCTGTGCTAGGATAGGGGATCAGGGCCATGCTCAGCAGGGTCTAGCCCAGGGCCATCACGCTGTGGACAATTGATCCAGCCCTGAAGCAGATGGCCACCCACTAAGGATCGGCTCAATCAACAGCAGAGAAATCCAAACCAGTTCAGCAGCCCTGAGTGCAGCTAACCATGACAGAGGGTCACAGCCAAACCCAATCCCAGACCAGGGTCCACACAATGGCTTGCTCCCCTTGGGCAGGGAGTGTGTGTTGGGGGCGGGGGCAGGGATTTAAAGCATTTGTTTAAAAGGCCAAGCCAGAGCCTTGAGCTCTCAATCTTTGCCAAATTGAAAAAGCTAAAGGCAGAGTTGAAGCTCCGAGGGTGCATCGCCTTCCTGCCTCTGCAGGGACGGGTGGAGAGGGAATCTCACCAGGGGGACGCCAAGGACTGTAGCTGCTTCCTCGGGCTCTCTGCTCTCCTTAGAGAGCACAGCTCCTCACCCGCAGCTGGCAAGTGGGACTCTCAATCCAGGGCTGGGCCAGCAGCATACTCTCAAGCCCAGAGGCTGCAGCAGAGATGGTCTCATCCAAGGGACAACTAGCTTTTCCCCTTTACGGCTGCCATTAAGTCAACAGGAGCCAATGGGCACATCAGAGCGAGTACGCTTCCCACACACGGCTTGTAGTGTACTGATGTATTGCTTACAGCGCAGTCAGTGTTCAGTCTCATCATGACTACCTATGAGTGACTTCATCTGTCCATCCAGGGTGCCCTGAACATTCTATTTCTTTGTATATATCCTGTGGTATAGCAGCAGTAAGTGGCCCTGTTCCAGATGCCTTGTGGGGACACCTGTATGCTAGTTCAGAGGCTTGCTTACCCCATAGCCCTCTGAGGATCTGTTTGTCTGGAAATCTAAGGAC